ATTCCCCAGCCAGCCATGAAGTCCACTCATCTTAAAGTGGCCAAGTTTGGACAACACTGACATAAAACCATGTTAAAAACCATATTTAAAGCCCTAACATATTCAGCAGCTGAGTTACCAAATGCATTCACAACATCCAACATAACCATTGAACCGGATCCCCAGCATCCAGAGTAGTGGCCCCGTGTTACAGGTAGTTAGATTCTGATCCAGCAGTGGAACAAATCATTGAGGTCTTAATTCTATGATACAGATATTTATGCATAAAGCCTGCCAAAAAATCTCTGCGTTTGGTTGCTTGCAGCTGGATTTCAGTTGTATAATTTCCAAGAGCTGTTTTCTTGATATGCTTGATAAATTATAAATTGATTTACACTATTTAATGTAGCTTATTTCATGCTGAGACTTCAGTGCACTATAGGTTACTGAAAGCATAAATTTTTTTGGGGGGGATGGATGGATCAATAATGTAATGGGTCAAATTTGCAGGAAGGTATTTTTGGTGTTGCTAAACAGATCATTCAGAGCAGTTCATTGTAGTGGCTAAAGCAGCAGGCTAGAGACTGGGAGACCATGACTTCTAGTCCTGCCTTAGGCACAAAGCCAGCTGGGTGACCTTGGGCCAGTCCCCGTGTCTCAGCCCTAAGAAGGAGGCAATGGCAAACCACTTCTGAAATCCTACCAAGAAAACTGCAGAAATGACTCCAGGCAGTCACCAGGAGTCAAAAACTGACTCAAAGGTATGTGTGTGCATGCATTTGCACGCACGCACACACAGATCATTCAGTGCAAAAGAAGTATAGATTTACTGTAATGTCCCTTTCTTCACCAACTCATTGTTGGAAGCAAAAGTTATGCATTTTTTCTAAAGAACCTTACAGCCCAAAATATCATACATACACCAGAATATTGTAATGAATTTTATTAAATGAACTGATCACCAGCAGGTAAATGAACATCATAAACCATTCCTAGTTCTGTTTGCACCTAGACATCATAGTGAAATGTATGAAAATATTATTTTTCTTAAATACTCTGGACTTGGGGAGCCTCTACATTTGATAAATAAATAAGATAAATATCCTATTAAGTCTATTTAGACCAGCATTCTGTGTGACACCATATTCCTCCAGATGCACTGGGGAAGTTCATAAGCATGGTGGACCTTCTTGCCTTTTCTGTAACAGCTGGCATTTAAGATACATCTCTCGTATGTAATTCAGAGTTCATAGCCATCAAGATTAATAGTTCTACAAATTTGTCTAATCCATTTTAAAACCACCTTTAAGAGCCATCCTGAGGGCAGCAAATTTCATATTAACAGTGCATTGTGTGGAAAACTGTTTATTGGTCCTGAATCTCCCTATTGAATTTCTGAAAAGTCTGGCATGTTTTCAAAAACATAGTGGTTAGGTTCATGGGACACAGCTGGCCCAATTAGCTCTCTCCCCAAAACGAAATTTTACTGGACTTTGATGGCAGAAATGTCCCAGCTAACAGGAGAATAGCCATTTTCATCATCCTCCCAGCTGTTGCAAAGGCATTTGAGAGGGTTTCCCACATGAAATAAAATCATATTCATAACAATAACAATGGTGGCTTGATCCAGCTCAGACAACCCCTTCTGCCAGGACCACCTTTTATCAGGCAACTTCTGTTTTTAGCAACTGATTTGGTGGTTAAACCCTCACTTTATCCTGCCTATTCACAGAACATGGCTGCCTCTGAGTAATTCAGCTATTTGCTCAATATGCTAACTGCCCCCTTGAGTTAAGAATATAATGCAAGACTATTGTGTATTACAGATTGGGTATATCTCATTTTTGGTCAAAAGAAGAACCACATCTTTCATAGCAGAGTCTCAGTTAAAGGAGAACTGGGGGGAGGGGAGACCAGGGATAAATTATAATTGATTTTTCAACAGAAGTCTTGAACACGATGCAGCTGATACTTAATTTGTCTTAGTTGCTCAAGTTAGCAGACAAGGGGTTGTCCTCTCGTTTTATCCTCACGACTACCCTGCAGTCTACAAGTTGGCCCAAAGAAGAATGAGTAGCCAAAAATTGCCCACCATTGAGTCCAACATCAGTCGGGCTCTCCTATGTCCAACTCATTCTCTACGTTACCACTCGGACTTCTTGGGGTCACCTTGTGTGGATCCAGCATGGAATGACTGAAGTAAGCTCCTTTTTTCACAAGGCACAGGAGAGAGAAATTGTTCCCTAGAGATCCACTGT